CAGCTGCCGGAATTCTCCATCTTTGTGTATACCTTGCATATTATGAGAGAAAAGGCATTAGAATTACTCCAAAAAGCATTATTATGGATAAAAACATCATAAATAACAGTAAGAAAACATGATGCAAAATGGATGTATCACTAACCATAGACATGTCTTGTCATTTGATGAACGAGATCACATCATTAGGAGAATGATGTGATGGACAAGACCCATCCGTTAGCTTAGCATAATGATCGTTAAGTTTTATTGCTATTGCTTTCTTCATGACTTATACATATTCATTTAACTATGAGATTATGCAACTCCCGAATACCGGAGGAATACCTTGTGTGCTATCAAATGTCACAACGTAACTGGGTGATTATAAAGATGCTCTATAGGTATCTCCGAAGGTGTTTGTTGGGTTGGCATGGATCGAGATTAGGATTTGTCACTCCGAGTATCGGAGAGGTATCTCTGGCCCTCTCGGTAATGCACATCATGATAAGCCTTGCAAGCAATGTGAATAATGAGTTAGTTGCGGGATGATGCATTACAAAACGAGTAAAGAGACTTGCCAATAACGAGATTGAACTAGGTATGAAGATACCGACGATCGAATCTCGGGCAAGTAACATACCGATGACAAAGGGAATGACGTATGTTGTCATTACGGTTTGACCGATAAAGATCTTCGTAGAATATGTAGGAACCAATATGAGCATCCAGGTTCCGCTATTGGTTATTGACCGGAGAGGTGTCTCGGTCATGTCTACATAGTTCTCGAACCCGTAGGGTCCGCACGCTTAATGTTCGATGACGATTTGTATTATGAGTTATGTGTTTTGGTGAGCGAAGATTATTCAGAGTCCCGGATGAGATCACGGACATGATGATGAGTCTCGAAATGGTCGAGAGTTAAATATTGATATATTGGACGATAGTATTCAGACACCGGAAGTGTTTCGGAATATATCGGGTACGTATCGGAGTACCGGGGGGGTTACCGGAACCCCCCGGGGGAAGATATGGGCCACATGGGCCATAGGAGGGAGGCAAGCCATCCCACAAGGGTGGCGCCCCCCTCCCCAAGGGAGGAGTCTGAATTGGACTAGGGGAGGGGGCGCGGCCCCCCTTTCCTTCTCCTTATCCCTCTCCTTCCCCCTTTCCCCTTCCGGTAAAAGGAAAGGAGGGGCTGAATTGGACTAGGAGTCCAAGTGGGACTCCCCCCACTTGGCGCGCCCCTAGGGCAGCCTCCTCCCCTCTCCCTCCTTTATATACGGGGGCGGGGGGCACCTCTAAGACACATCAATTGTTCTTAGCCGTGTGCAGTGCCCCCTCCACCGTTTACTCCTCCGGTAATATTTGTTGTAGTGCTTAGGCGAAGCCCTGCGCGGATCACTTCACCATCACCATCACCACGCCGCCGTGCTGACGAAACTCTCCCTCGACACTTTGCTAGATCAAGAGTTCGAGGGACGTCATCGAGCTGAACGTGTGCAGAACTCGGAGGTGCCGTACATTCGGTACTTGATCGGTTGAATCGAGAAGACGTTTGACTACATCAACCGCGTTAAATTAACGCTTCCGCTTTCGGTCTACGAGGGTACGTGGACACACTCTCCCCCTCTCGTTGCTATGCATCTCCTAGATAGATCTTGCGTGATCGTAGGAATTTTTTTGAAATTGCATGCTACGTCCCCAACAGTACATGAGATCTCAATGACTCTCATGTCTATGGCAAAGAGTAGCAAACACTAATACTCGATCACACAAAACCAAACCCTAAAACAACACCCTAAGGAGCGGGGGTATTTTAGGAGTGGAAAATGAAGATTTAGCTAGCTCAAGGATGGGAAGGGGGTCGAATCCAACCTTAAGTCAATCTCCTCTCTAAAAACAAACTATAAAAACTGCACTTAGTCTTTTACTCCAAAAATACATGGACCCAACCAAAAACTAAGGGTGTCCATGGTGGTTTCAAAGTCCTGAAATCGCTACTTGAAGCTCTGTCTTTGCTCCTTGCGTGTCTATTGAGATCTCCATGCTTGATCATACTCTGGTGTGTGGCATACTTGTCCATGCTAGTCCCTTCATTTTTGGGTTATGCAAATACATCTGACTAGGCATCATCACATTCTCATGAACAATAGTGGAAGTTCCTAGAAATTAAAGCACCTAATAATTAGGTTGTCGTGAGCGAGCTCTAGTCATTGATCCTTGTATTTCTGAAACTTGAGCTGGTGTAGGGGTTGTGGATGTAACTATATTAAGGACGACCTCATCAGGTCTACTATGGATCATATAGTTGGAGTTGTCGACTCTAGGCTTCCCCATCTTGAATCCTTGGGAGAGATTATCCCTAACGAATAACTTGATGCACTATCTTACTTCAATCCTTTGAGCGAAAATATGACAAAAGGAAGGAAACCCCATGGAAATGCAACGGAGAAGAGAACGAAAATAGAGGGTTGGGCTCATTGGTAGCATGGTTCTTGAGCCATGGATCGACCATGGGAGAAACAACATTTAAACTAAAATCATAGTTTGAATGTGGTGAATTGGACTCTTTGTTGCTCCAATATTTTTATTTCTATCCCCGTTTACAAAAATAAACATAAATCCATACATAAAAGTAGAGAAGATCGAGCGTACTCAGCACTATCTTCTAAAGTAATTGAAGTTCTAGATTTGTCAAAAGTAAAAATTATATGAAAAAACATATTAATATATAAAACACCATATATTAGTCTTATGAGATCTAGAACTTCGATTACTTTGCAGGGGAGGGAGTAGCCGGACAAGGCGGTCATTTTTTTATTGACATCCATCGGAAGAAAATATATTAAAGTTGTGCTAAATCAACGACAATTAATGTGGGATCGACAGGAGTAGTATAATTCAAGAAGAGAACTTATTCAAGAAACACCCTAAGGAAAAGGAGGGGTAGAAACAGAGCCTTGGTAAAATCCCATCCTCTGGAAGAAAAGTTTCCTCTTTGCCCTTCCTTTCTTCTCTGCCCTCGTCTCGTGCCCCCTCCTGCCACCAAGCTCTCTCAATGCTAGCCGGCACCGAGCAGCCGCCAAGGTAATATCTCGTCGACGATTCTCGAAACAAATCCCCAACTTTCCTCCACGGATTGGAACTACTCGCGCGATCCCTCGCACCCACCCTTTCTCCCCGAAATCCGTTCCGGCTATCCCCGACTCTGTTTGGGCTCTCTCTTTATTTTCTTGCCCTTTGAACGGCGTCTTCTTCCGATCAATCGTATTTGTGCTGATACAGTCCTTGGTTTTGGAATCGCCAGGCGAGCGTCTGCGTGGACGCCCCGTAGTTCCTGGCCGCGATTAACGTGGCGCGAGCATTGGGGCCGAGAAGCCGGCAGTAAACCCTCCGTACGTGCTCTGTTCGACCCGAAGTTTGGTGTGACATATTCGGTTATTATTTAGCTGATTTAGATCTAACTACAAAAGCAAGCATCTTGGTGTTTTTCACTGCGATTGGGGTGTGTGATTGTGGACGCATCGTGTTGTGCATCTAGATGGTTCTGTGTGGAATATAGGTTTTCATCATTACTGTGCTATTTCTTGGCCATGTCAGTCTCTGTAAAGTTCTATCCTTTTGTAGCCATATAGGTTGCATCAGTACGGTTTTAAGTGATTTTATGTGTACCAGGTTTCACTGTCCAGCATTAATCTTTGTGTTTCAGTTCAGCACTCCCTTTGCATGCCAGTTTGATCAAATCTGAGATATGGGGTAAACTTTCTTGGTGATACTGATGCACTAGGCAAGACTATCACATCGCCACCGTGTATGTGACACTAGGGTTTGGTCAGAGTCCAGAGCAGTCGTTTAGGTGCCGAGTCACATTTTCTGTTTCTGATGATGAGTGAGCCATATATGTCTGATATGCATCAATTTCTGCGGTGATAATTTGTTCAATTTGACTAGCAGCCTAACAGATACTTAATTTGTTATTAGGAACCAATGGCACTTTACCAGTACTTCAATAATGTCTGGATGTGATCCCTAAAACAGAGATGGTGGAGCAAATAGCTTTGTTAAATGCCCATCGTTATTGCTCTTATTAGTCATGGCGAAGTACTTTTTTTATAAGGCCCTTAGCGCCCTTATCAGTTATCAGCACCAAGCAATAAACATGGCTACGTTTTATGTTTTCTAGTGTTATTTCTCATAGTTTGCTTGAGCCATTAGGCACTTGTCGACGTAGCAATGAAATTTGTCATGTACAGTATCAAACTGTGTTTGTTTTTAATAACGGAAGACCAGTGGGCAAGCCTTCTGGGCGTTGCATCATACGGTACAACCATGTGAAATTGTGCTTGCAACTTACACTTATCGGAAGATGCATCGAATGATCGAAGTCACTACATGTTTTCTATCTGAAAGTGGAAGTTCTAATTACCCCCGGCCTAGTCACCACATGTTTTAGCTTCTCACATTATTTCCGATGAATAACTAATTTGAAGTTGTCCTGTAAACCTAATTCGCAGCTTTGTTTCGCCATATCTTAAGGGCCATTGTTTCGTTGGTACCTAAGTATACAAATGTGTATCACTAAGGAAATGATGGGCTTTATTTTACAATGAGAGAAATAGAATGTCTTTGATATAAAACAGCAACTATTCTTTTAAGGACTATAGATTTGCCCAGATTTCAGATGGTATTTCATCACTTCCCCCATCGTTTGGTATATGAAAGTTGCTATGAACCTAGTATATTGCATTATTAACCAAAAAGGCGGCTATGAACCTAGTTCTCTTACTTATGTGTGATATTTTCTGCATGCTATATTTCGGGCAAGATATCCTCATTTAGGAGATTTAAGAATATTCAGTGTTTGCAGTGGGTATCGACCAAATGTAATCCAGCACTCGCCATCATACATGTAGTTGTTTGTTCTGCAAGTATTGAAAATGTTATGATGTAATGAATTCAGGTCAGAAGGTACACCCTCGTGTTCGTATTGTATCTGACAGAGGAGATTGGTCCTAAGCATGGGTGCTCGAAAGCAAAAGTGGACTTCAGAGGAAGAGGCTGCTCTTAGAGCTGGCATAGCAAGGTATGGAGTGGGAAGTTGGCGCCTGATATTGAAAGATGATGACTTCCGTTCCATCTTGAGCTGCCGGTCAAATGTTGATCTAAAGGTTAGAACTGTTTACACGTCACTGCATTTTTGTTGAGGTCACTTACTTCAATAAGGGCCATCCAAAATTTCTCTTCTTGCAAATCATGTTTTGTTTGATTTTAAATTCCATATATCATCTTTAGTTATTGACGTGCATGCCTTTTGTCTGCTAATTACTACTTAGGACAAGTGGCGCAACATCAACGTATTTTTCACCGAATCAGGCTCTATGGATAAGGGAAGGACTGCCATGAAGAAGAACCGAGCTGCTCCTAGGAGGAATGATCACCCAGTGGCAAACAGCACAGTTGCTTCTGATGTTGATGACGAAATTGTTGATGAACAGCCTATAGCATCAATGTCAAGTGAACTGTGGAATGTTTCAATTCCAAAGAAATCACGGTCAAGGTAATCATACTTATATAACATTGTATACCATAAATCCTGGCAGTTATATACTTGTCACACAGTGATATCCAAGAAAAGATAAGTTATTATGGATGCTTCACTGTTTTAATGGCTTGCCTGCAGGCTAAACAATATCATATTGGAATCTGTCAAGAACTTGAATGAGCCTACAGGGTCACATAGCACTACGATTGCTAAGTACATAGAGGTTTGCATCCTTGTTTTTGCAATCTCTGTAAACTTATTGTTGTCTTCTTGCTTAGCTACTGTTTACATTTTTTACGGAAGTGTTTCTTTTTGTTAATGTTCATTTTTATGTACTTATATTTAGTCAGCCCATGCCAGCTTCTCGTGTATGGGTTCATTGTCTTGATTGACAAAAAATTCTTTGGACTATTTGACAGTTTTTGGAGAGGGTTTGGTCGCCTGTGAGTCAGCACCACAAAGATAGAAAAATAGTATCAATGGACTAATGGGCAGTAAATGAAATCCTATGCAAACAGAGTTCTTACCAAAAATAAAAACTATATTTAGCCTGACTCTATCGTACCAAAATGAGCTCACATATAGCAACTAGTAGAATTCCATAATAAAACAAGTCTGGTACCTCAAGATATCCTGCAATTTTCCGTTGTGCAATCAACATACTATAGTCTCTTCTATCTGCTGGCTGCCACAAACAGGGTGTGGAAAACATGGTAGAACCGAGCAGTAAGCAGAACTGGACTGGTTCTGGTTTCCTGAACATCATTGCCAACTTTAAATATGTAATCATTCTTAAAAAAAAAGGAATTCAAAATGCAGGAAATGTGAATCAGTTTTCTTGCTTTGGAGACTGGCCAAAAGCCATGCCCTACCTGATTCCAGTTTTGTAACCTTACCTCAGCTACTGATCCATCTTTTCTTTAATGAATTGCTGCATCCTTTTCTTTCCCCTTTGCTAAAAAGAATGCGACAGTGAGGAGAGACATCACACAGATCTCGTTCCTATAGAGTAAGGAGGCTCAAACCCTGGTTGGCTAAGCATGACGTTCATGGTCTAGACACTATCCAGTAGAGCTCCTCTTTCTTGTTCCTTGCTGATCAAACATCATTACTTCTTGTAGAGCTTTGATGTCATTTTGAAGAGATGACCGTGTTTGCAGTTGCTCCCTTTTGCTAATAGAAATCTTGTAGGAACATATTGCACTTGCCCTTGTTTGCTTTCACCTTTCATGTGATAACTTTACTAACCTGGTTCCAAATAGGAGGAATATTGGCCACCTAGTGATTTTGATCGCATGTTGTCTGCAAACCTGAAGGACTTGACCACCAGTGGAGAACTGATAGAGGTAATGCCCTTTTAGTTCTTAACTTCATATGTATCCTTTCTAGAGGAAATAAAGCTAATACAGTATTGATGTTTGAGGTGGAACTATTTGGTCACCACTCATGGAGCAGCGTCAAACTAATTAATTACTTCTATACCACCTACTTCATGAGAACATTTGGAAGACTAATTTCATTCAACTGAATAGTTGGCATCGATGGCATATTTACTAAAGCAGAATGCCAGAATCTACGAATCATTTCCAATATGTGCATGTTTCAGCATAATTGCATATGTGTACCAAAATATGCATACACTTATTTATGTGTGTACCATACTCTATTAGACTACAAGAACAATGCCAAACATGTATGCCAGATAACACCAATTAGTTTTGCATAATGGTTTCCTATTCTGTTTCATGTGGAATCTCATTGAATTGCAATTTTGTAATTTATCTGTACTAAAATGGTGGAAGTGTTTTTTGGTTGCTGGGATTACTGTTGTTCGTGACTTATCTCTTGCTGCTTATTCTTTATCCCTTTTGAATTTTGAGCCAACCAGCTGCTTGGTTCTGCAAATTCCGTGGGCATGTGAAGTGGCTTAAGCCATGAGGAATGGACTGTTGTTATCTCAGCTTAGGATATAGGTATTCACATGAAGAGTATAGACTACAGGACATTTTAGCATGCTACTATGAATATTGCAGGTAAATCGCAAGTACAGGATTGCACCTGCACCTGGTTCAATGTACTCTGAGGGACGAAGCCCCGAAACACTGCTGCTAGAAGACATGCAAAGAGAGCCCCAGAAAATAGAGAGTGATGATATTAAAACCCTTACAAAATCTCAAGTTGATGCTGAATTGGCGGATATGATAACCATGACTGCCGAAGAGGCTGCATCCGCTGCTGCTCGTGCAATTGCAGAGGCAGAGGCTCTCATGGCAGAAGCTGAAGCAGCGACAAGAGATGCGGAGGCGGCAGAAGCAGATGCCCAAGCTGCACAAGCTTTCGCGGAAGCAGTAAGGAACAGAAACGTTACAGAACTGGTAATAGCCCTAGTCTTATAATTTCTAGTTACATGTCCAATGGTGCTTCTTTGAGATGTTGGACCATGTTTTATAATTTCTCAGTAACCGATTGGTTATACCTGGTTAGAAAGAATACTAAATTGAGCAATTTTTCATAAAAATCGTTGACTTGTGGAGTAAGATTATGATTTTCTAAAGTAGATATAATTCATGTTTTTATTGTTATTTGCACTCACTCATGCATGATATTTCCCCCAGTCAAACCATATTATTTTGATCATAGTTATTGGCTAGCATATGTAGTTTGGATATATGAAAATGTTATGAGTAAAGACACCATAAAAAATGTTTACATCATTTCTCGGATGTAAAATAATAATATTAGTGGTTGAAGTGGTACATTATTAAATTTGAGAAACAAAAATCGTCGCTCTTTCATCACTGGAGGGATTAGTCATGAATGATATTTGAGGCCATGGGAAAAAACGAACTCTGAAACTGTATGTTCTCTAGTTAGCTAGAAACAAGCAATAAACTTGACCAGGTTTTGATGAGTTTGTGCTATTGATTTAGTCGAATAGTGATTGGCTGTTTGTTTCTTGTTATACTTGTAAATAGTCTAATGCTGGAACCGTCAAGGATTTACATCAGGCATTACCACGGAAAAAAAATTTACTATAGCTGACCAAATCATGACCAGGGCCATAAAAACATGAAGCAAGTGGAATCCACTTAGTATATGCTTGTGCCTTTCGACCTTGTTTTTATCTGTTTTGTCATGAGGTCTCTTGGACAGATATATGAGAACTAGGTAGTAATAAAAGTACTCCCTCCGTTCACTTTTGTAAGACCTTTTAGACATTTATAAGACAGCACCTAAAACAGTTCAATTTCAGCTGTCCTAAACGACTTACAAAAGTGAACAGAGGGAGTATTAATTATCTTGACATCAAAGCTCACTGAGGTGATAGGTGAATGGTAGTGTTGATTTTAAGCGTATGCGCCTTTGGCATTGTTGAAAGATTATGTTTGCTGGCTGCTCCATTCACATTCTGACTCCATTCATTCATGTTGGTGCACAGATGGCCCAGTCTTGATGCTGCTACCCTGAGCCGCTCCAGCCCAGCATTGCCGCAGGATGCAGATGATGCCGTACCTCACACTTGAATTTTCGGTTGGATTAACAGCAGCCGCCCTCATTTTTCTTCTACTTTTTCAAAAAAGAAAAAACAGCCGCGCTCCAGTGTCACCAGCCTTATGATGTTCCTGGAGCAGCAATGCAGCAACAACCAATTTTGCGAACCGTTTGTAGCATCATGATTCACGCTGCATTTTTTGTGTAAACGTCGAGACCCGGCCGGTCCAGACCCGTCGTGATGCGCGGCGGTGGTCCGACCGCCCCCGTCGACGCATGGTCGATCATGGCGCGGTGGTGGAACAGGCCGATGGGCCAGATGAGAACCGAACCGTTTGACCTTTAGGTGGCTGGCGGGCTCACACAGGCTGGGGTGTGGGTGCGTCCGTCAACCACCCCCGTCGTCGTTTCTCCCTTTCGGTTGGAAGCACCGGCGGCAGCTCGTAGTGGTGGTAGGGCAACACTTTTCTCCTGTGGTCTCGGACGGATAACCGTCAGATTGCATGCAAATACGGTTCGTCGGGCGTGTGCGTGCGACGGTGGATCTCATCTCACTTTCTTTCTGGTACCTCCAAATGATTGTGCTGTTACCGTGCCGTGCGTGTTGGTGCCGACCTCACCTGCTTGCTGCTTCCGGCTATGATGTGTGGAGCGGTGTAGGGCCTTGCTTGGAAGCTCGAACAAAATTTGTCATTGCTGGAATTCACGGTGTCGAAAAATAAGGGACGCAATGAACCACATCTACTTCCTCCGTTTCTAAATATTTGTCTTTCTAAAGATTACAACAAGTGACTACATACGAAGCAAAACGAGTGAATCGACACTCTAAAATATGTCTATATATATCCCTATGTGGTAGTTCATTTAAAATTTTTAAAAAGACAAATATTTAGAAACGGATGGAGTAGCTAGTTGGCGTGGCCATCCGTATGCATGTGGCGGTAAGATTGGAGGAGCAGTAACTTGGATAATACACCGCCGGCTAACGTAACGGGCGACGCTACAAACCCCGATCGAGGAGTTGAGAAAGCAACGGCGTCATCTGCACGCCGGGGTATATCATAGAAAACTCTTGTTTTGAGGATGGTTTAGTTTTCCCGATGTGCTCGTGAGTCGTGACGTACGGCTCGAACATGCGCCACCAACGTGCGTCGTATCTTTTTTTTTAAGCATCAGTACAGACACAAGCGCTCATATACACGCGCATACACTCATCCCTATGAACATACACACGCACACCCTACCCCTATGAGCACCTCCGAGAGACTGAGCCGGCATATCATCTTGAGATTTATAAAGTCACCGTAGGCGCCTCATCGTCGACGGGAACGTCTCCTCCTGCTGGAATTTAATCTATTTTGCTATTTTGGGTAGCCCAATAACTATTTCAGAAATTTCTAATAAATCCTAGAGGTTCATTTAGCCCATTTGTGCAAGGCAATGGATACTACTAAAGTTTAGTCCCACATTGCTAGTCTAGTGGGAGTTTGACCTCCTTATAAGGGAGGTTTTTTCCCTACTTGTACGACCATGAGAACAAGAGGGATATCCACGCGCGCTCCTCCTCCGCCGCCCGCCTCGCCATGCCTCGTCACGACGCGTCGCGTCGCGGGTTGCGGGAATGAGCCGATATCTAAATTTTTGCCACGCACGACGGGTATACGAAAGGTCACGTGGGAGTTGAAACGTTTTCTGTAGTGGACACTGAATTCGAACGAAGCGCATCTTCGGCCGCTGCCTGTTCGCTTCGTCTCCCTTCGTTGCTTCACCTCCTGCCGCAGCCTCTTCGCGTCCTTCTCCTGTGCCTATATAAGAGAGGTCGCTCCTCTCCAGAGAGACACAACAGAAGCTCCTCTTCCTCTCGCCACAAAGTTCCGACCACTGCGCTGCTGCTACTTTCTTCCCCATCCCGTTTTGCGGCATGCACCGCAGGTCGGGACAGTAGGCCTCCGAGACCGCACCTTTTGAGTCATGTACGGGAGAAGGGTGATAAGGTTTTTGAGGAGCGCTCAGCGCGACTACTGGCTGCTTCATCACGGACGATCCGGTCGCCGACGACTACTTCCCCGACGACGACTTCTTCCCCGACGTCCACGACCTCCTCGACGACATGGCAGGCGAGGACACCGACCCCAAGTCCAGCGCTTCTGATGCTGCTGTCCCGTACGTGTTCTTGTCTTTCCTGTTAAAGATTCTGCCACAGTTCCTTGTTCTAGTCCTTGTCCTACACATGATAGGTTCTACTTCATATATGCTACTTGCTATACTGTCTGCTTTAGATATGGTAGGATACGGTTCATATATGCAGAAGCTATTTACCTTCTCTCTGTCAGAACGCATGACTTGTTTTATCTCTACTATATTAGTCATGCTTTATCTAATATTTCTGTTAATAAAATCATTTGGTAAATTGCTCATATTTCCAACAATCCAAAAACCTTATTATAGGCAATTTACCCCAAGTGGTTTTGCTGCTTCCATGAGACCTCCTATGTTTGAGGGTATCCACTATAAGAGGTGGCACGTGAGAGCAGTCTTGTGGTTTCAAACCATGAGTTGCTATGACGCCACTCTCGGCAAACCTGAAGGAGAGCTTGATGCTCAACAGGCACAAGCTTTTCAGAAAATGGATACTCTGTTTAAGGCTGCTCTCTTGAGTGTTCTTGGTGATAACATAGTTGATGCTTATGCGTCAATTGATAATGGAAAAGATATGTGGGATGCACTCGAGGCCAAGTTTGAGGTCTCGGATGCTGGCACTGAGCTGTACATCATGGAGCAATTCTATGATTACAGGATGACTGAAGAGCGCTCCGTGGTTGAGCAAGCTCATGAGATACAGTCATTTGCTAGAGAACTTGAGCACTTCAGTTGTATGCTACCGGACAAGTTTGTTGCCGGAGGTATCATCACTAAGCTTCCTCCTTCATGGAGGAACTTTGCTACCTTACTGAAGCATAAGAGGCAGGAGTTTTCCGTCCCGGATCTCATTGGCACTCTTGATGTGGAAGAAAAGGCGAGAGCAAAGGACACACGTGCTCGAGGTATTGAGGGAGGATCTAGTGCCAATGTGGTACAGAAGCAGAACTTCCAGCCCCACAAGTTCAAGAACAAGGGCAAGTTTGATGGAAAAGCAAAGTTTGATGGGAAGAACAAGGATGTGCAACACACGAACTTCTAGAAGAAGAATGGCAAGAAGAAAGGTGCTTGTCATGTGTGTGGGGATCCTGATCATTGGGCTCCTAGTTGCCCTAATCGCTATGACAAGCGTCATCCTGGGAAAGGCGGCAAGACCGCTAATGTTGTCATTGGAGACACTGATATGAAGGATGCTGGGTATGGTATATTTCTCACTATTCTTTCAGTATGTCATTCTCCTGACTGGTTGATTGACACGGGTGCTAATGTGCATGTATGCTGATATTTCCATGTTTTCGTCTTATCAAACCAGGGACTTCAACCGTGCTGATGGGCAACGGTTCAAGTGCTTCTGTTCGTGGTGTTGGCACGGTCGATCTGAAGTTTACTTCGGGGAAGATCGTGCGGCTGAAGAACGTGCATTATGTCCCCTCCGTCAATAAAAATCTTGTTAGCGGATCTCTTCTGTGTAGAGATGGCTACAAGCTTGTCTTTGAGTCGAATAAATTTTTAATATCCAAGTATGGAACCTTTGTTGGTAAAGGCTATGAGTCAGGAGGCTTGTTTCGTTTATCCTTATCAGACGTTTGCAATAAAGTTGTTAATCATATTTGCAACAATAGTGAATCCAATGTGTGGCATTCACGTCTTTGTTATGTTAACTTTGGTTGCATGTCGCGACTAGCGAAGTTGAACTTAATCCCTAGTTTCACCACCGTCAAGGGATCTAAGTGTCAAGTGTGTGTGCAAGCTAAGCAACCTCGTA